GAGAAACGAAGATAGAGCAGAAATGCGGGGGGAGGCGAGAGTATCTCCTCGCCCTCCTCCTGCTCTGCCTCCTCGTCCTCCTCTCTCCCATCCGCTGCAGCCAGGCAGCCTCTAGCTCCTGGAGGGGAGTGTGAAGGCATCGTAGACGAGAGAGGAGCGGACGAGCCAGGTCTGAGAGCGGTGAGGAAGTGCGGTCGGGCTTGACTTGATGGGACACGCGAGAAGGCACAAAACCTTTTCCGAGGGCTACATTGCCACAGGAGTGTAACATGCACGGGTCTCTGAAGACAGGACACAGGGGTATTAACCTTGACTTGGCAGGGTCGACCTACTGATCAAGGCCGACTGTAGGGAGGAAGTTGAGGGTGCTGCTGCAGGTCGTCTGAAGATTTCTGAAAAACGAAAGCTCCATCGCGCACCGAGTAGCCAACTGCCAAGCCGCCCTCCCCAAGCAGCAACAAGCCCTCCGGCCCCGCACCAGCCCCAGAGGGGGAGGACAAAGGAGGAAGAGGGAGGAGAGAGGAGGAGGTTGGGAGGGATGGGGAATAGGGGGACGGCGTCTACGACAACGACGACGACTACGACGACGGAGGCGGAGCGATCGAAGAAGAACAAAAGCGCATAAACAGAAGCTCTCGACGCTAAACGCGGCTATCTTGGTTCGGCGCTGGACCATCCTCTCTGGCGCGCGGAGCGCGCCAGGCCAGGGGCGGCGCCGAAGGCGCCGCCATGGGGCCCCCGCGCCGATGCGAGAAATCCGGGCGGAGCTCCGAAAGTTTGTGTACGCATATTTTGCTTCAAGGCTGCGAAGGCCAAGACCAGGCCAGGACAGAGAAAATATCGGACAGGGCTGAATCGGGAACCTCTGTGAGATCAAAAGGTTATGGAAGACGTATCGAGCGCCGCAGCCTTCTCAGAGCGTTCCAGAAAGTTCTGAGCACTCTCAGGGACGCACTAGAACGACTTATCCATGTCCTAGCTCGGGCGTGTCCCTCTACAGGAAGAATATTCAACAATCGATTTAAAAATAGTCCGGGGACTTTTTTGAATATGCTTGAACATTGTTTGAATATTTGCTTACATTTGAAAATGTTCGTCCGAAATCCGCCTGTACGGGGACATGCCCGGCCGAATCCTAGCTTGGAGGCGGCTGGGCATCTGCGTTGGATAGGCCATGAGAACACCTGTCAAGACGGGGATGATGATGCCAAATCCGCTCAAAATCAGTCCCTGGAGTCCTCCTGGGGTCCATCTGGTGCAATTTTCAACTCCGGATCCGTTTTCGACAGTCCCGGGACCCGACACGGCCCCCAAAGGCCGCAAAAGACCAAAGCACTTTCTCGAACGCAGAACCTCGAACCTCGCCCCCCTCCCTGCTGGCTGGAAGCAGCCGGCTCCAAGTCCTGGGCCCCTGGCGGCGAAGACGACGACGAGGCGCCGTGCCGGGCCGGCGCAGCCGGGTGTGCAGCTCCAGCCCCTGCAGCCAATAACCAGGGCAGCAATCCACCTGCACCGCCCCGGTGCGCCGGTCCACCTGCTGCGCAGCATGGCGGCGGCGGCGAATGTGGCGGCGGCCAGGACGAGGGGGCAATTGACGACGATGACGGCGAGGAGGATGAAAGAGAGGAGGGCCACACCTAAGATAATCCGCCGACCCCTTGGTTTTCATCGGCGTGTGCGATGCTTCCCCCTCCTCAAACCTTTCCCCCAGCAGCCCAGCCCGGTCGATTTGGAGGGGGGGTGTTCCCTGGGGCTGGAACGCGCCATGGGGGGACCGAGGGCCGCAAAACAAGCCAAAAGGGCACCAAGAGGCTCTCCGGACGGTCCGAGAGGGCCACGAGCCGCCGAAAGATCAACCCAAAACGCCCACGCTAGCGGTCCCAATTTCGCTCAAAAAGCTTTTGAGGACGGCTCAAAAAAAAACGGCCCAAGGGGGCCCCAGGACAGCCCCAAGAGAGGGTTCAGAGAGGGAACCCAGACGGAAATTGCGAGCCTTCGACCCCAGACCGCCCCCGGGTTGCCCCAAGAAGCCCTCAACTGGCTCCCGCGGAGCTCCGAGAGGCCTCAACAAAGTTCCCAAGAGGCGGCCAGGAGGCCTTCAAGATGTTCAGCTGTTTCCCAAACGCCCTCGAGACGCCTCCCACGAGACCCCGTTTGCCATCCGCGTGGCCTCACACCCGCAAACCAGGCACGGTGGCGGGGCGTGCCGAAGGCCATGCGACAATCATTCTTCTGGTTAAACAGATGCCCGCCGTTAATACACGCGGTTTTCGCCCGTTCCCCTATGCGTGCGCGGCGAACACTGGAAATGCCAGCCGCAAGAAGCACGATTGAACTAAATCACTACTGATAAAACGACATCACATGTGAACAACCTGAAGAGATCAGTTGCTCTGTAAAACTTGCTCGGCCGAAGCAGCGCCTGGAGCCGCCAACAGGCTTCGCGAGCAAACTCTTGGACGGCGCAATGCGTGGTCAACTCGGGGTCGAAGAATGCGCCGAGGATCTTGACATCGCCCCCGCGGGGCCGGCGCTTGTCAAAATGTGCATGCTCTGATTGGGCGCCTCGAGAATCACCCGGTTGACCGCGCCCCGCTCGCGAAGCGTGGACTGGCGCCGGCGGCGCGCAGCGAAGATAGAAGCATCCGCGGCCGCACCTTCGAACTCTTTCCAGCCATTGAGGTCGCCAGCGAAAACGCACTCCGTGAAATCGGCCGAAGACACGGCGAGCTCGGCACCACCATGGAGCAAATTCCACAACGGCGGCCCCACAACCGCGCCTTGGAACACCATGTCCAGAAGCAAGATAAGCCTGGAGAGGAGCCCGCCCACGCTGACATGCGCCTGCCCCCCAGAAAGCCAAGACCGAATGACGTCCAGAAAGGAGCGCGCACACTTCCGACGCACGTAATTGAGCCATGAGGCGGTCGCAACTGACCCCGTCGAATGCCCCGGCCACGCCCGAGCACTGCGCCCCCGCGCGCCGACCGCTGCAGATGGCGCGGATCCAACGGCGCACCATGTATGCCAGAGCGTCTCTGTATCCCTGGTTCGTGCGATAAGCTAACAGGCGGCCCCCGCATGCCCCGCTGGCCTCAAAGACAGGAAGCAGCACGTTGGCAAAGCAACGCTCGACGACTTTGCCGAGTTGAGATGCGAGGTAAATCCGACGGTAATCCGACGGATTCGAACGCGTATTTTTCTTGAACAGTGGGCGCGGCCAATGACGCTTCCATCATCCAGGCCACTCGCCGCCATTTAAAATCAAGCGTGCAAGCGTGGGAATAGGAGCCGCTCGCGGCGAGGCGCATGTCTTCAAAATCCGACATGGCAGCCCATCAAGGCCCGCGCCACCGCCCCCCCGCAGCCCACGCAGAATGCGCGGAATCGCATGGAAACGCATCGACGTCAAGCTGGCCATTTAGAAAATGCCGTTCGCGCGCGCGGAAGCGACCGAGTCGTCGACCACGGGCGGGGGACCAAACTCATCGCAGAAAGAACATGCGGACACGTTGTCCTTAGCACGAGCGGACACGTGTAGCCCGCGACCCGCTCTTCGACTGCAGCGGGGACACACGGACTGACCTATTGCCCGCGCGAGTGAGCAGCGAACCGATTATACCCGCCATGTCTTGCACGATGGCCGCGGGCCCAGCGCGCTCTTCCGAGTTCGCGGAACGCGCTTGTCGCAGCGGCGGCGGAGGCAAGCAGGGCACTCGCCCCGTCGACGTTCAAATTGTGGCGCCCCATATGCTTCAACTTGCCCCCTGATCAGCTCCACGCACGCCTCGTCAATCCACCGGCAGGCGGGCGCCCGGGCGACGCGGGCGAAAAGACGGGGTGAACCTTCTCGCCGCGCCAAGAATGAGACCAGCGAGTTTGGCTGCAGCGGCCGAAGCAGCGCAGGATGCGAACAGGGATTTCCAATTCCAACCCGCGCTCTGCAACTCGGCGCGAAGCTGGGGCCACTGCGCACGTTGAAACAACCGCTCATCGTGGACAGTCGGCGCAGAAAGCCGCGCGCGCATGACCGTGGACACGCATGCCAAAACATGGTCGTGATAGATGATGAGCGGAAGGACTTTGCGCGCCAGGGCGAAAGGCGCATCAGTCAGGACAGGGCCCAGCCAGTTATTCCCTCGAGTCGGTGTCACGACTCTGTCCTGCAGCCCCGCGCGGTTGCAAGTGCCGAGCAGGGCCCCCCCATCCCCGGGTGCACCTTGAGAAGAAAAATGCAGCTAATTACTGCGACGAGCGCCCATGTCACCCGCGGCGATGGTGCCCGCGACCTGCCGCTGGTAATCGCGCCACTCCGACAATAGAGCGCGAACGGCATCAACCTCACTCTCTGCTCAGGGGCCTCGGGGACCTGGCGCCCAAGACCCAACAACATTGGACAAATGCTTGCATGGGCGATGTGCCAAGACCGCTCGGCATCAAGAGAATCACCGACATGGGCGGCGCAACTCTTAAAGAACTCACATGCGAACAGAATGATGCCGCCACCTTGTCTGCCATCGCGACGGTTGGGTCGCGATGCAACCGCGCAGCCATCCAACAAGGTGCCCGTAACAGACTCGTTTAACCATCTCTCTGCGACTGCCGAGAGATCAGGCAACTGCACATGTTGAAGTCGACCCCGAAGCTCGGCACGGCGTGACAGAAAAACGCGCGAATGCACAAGCAATGTGGAACATCGAATCCTGGACCTGGCGATTCGGGCCCCAATTTGCACGATCCCGAGGGCGCTGACGACCCGAATTTCGGCGCCAACAGTGGAGCCGAAGGTCGCGTGCAAGAACAGACCGAGAACCTCGACGTCGTTGGCGTCGGGGCGTCAGCCGCTGGGGCCACTCATCTGCCAGAGACTGGCGGGCGGGCCAAGGCACGCGAACAGGGTGCGAATGTGAACGGGAACACTGATGATGAGCGGCCCCGAGTAATCCCTACGGAATGACAAGGCCCGCGAATGGTTGCAAGAAGACCCCGTTGACATCGTCCTATTGCTTGAATGCGGCGGTCCTGTTAACAATCACAAGCCGGTTCTGAGAACCGTCGGCTTCAAAATCAATCCTGGCTTCCTTGCCATCGGCCAGGGTATAGGCTTTGATCAACTCCTGGGCCGTTCGCATGGCATATCTCCACTTGCGTTGCAACTCCGCGGGGGCTGGCTTGATCATCGATTTGTTGCTAACGATGTTGAGCTCAATGCTGGACAGCGACACGTTGGAGAGGAAAGCCTTGGCGACCTCGGCGATGGAGAATTCGACCCATGATCCTGGGAAACATATTTGGTTCGTGAGTGGACCTTTTGAACTTATTACCAAATCCAGTGGGCCGAAACGTTTTACAGTAATCATTGATGATGGCCTCCATCTTCGCGATGCGAGCGTCGGCGCCGACGTCGTCTGGCCAGCCAACGAGGGCGACGCGACGACGAACAGGATGCATGCGGAGGACGCTGCTCTGCAGCTCCTTAATGGTGCGCGCGTCGGCGTCTGATACAGGTGATTGGGGCTCTAAAGCAGATACTCTGGAACCCAGTTCATAACATAAGTGCTTCAAGGGGTCGACGGCCTCTGATACGGTGACTTTTACATCCACCATTACCTCCTTCCTGAAAGCATCGAAGTTCACCTTCAAGTCCTCGATGTCCGACTTACGAGCCATCTTGTCCATCTTCTCAGAGAGCGCTGAAATAGCCTCGAGGACGTCCATGTTCGGAGACTGCGCGGAGCTACTCTGAGATCAAGATCCCAGTGTCGTAGATTTCATTGTCTCCTTCAGGCGCTTGTTTTTCTTAAGTTTCTCCTTGGCCGGAGACGCCAAAGGTCCTCGTTTAGCCGTCGATGCAAAGGCACTGTCGAGGTTAGCCTGAACACTCCGATTAACCATGACGGCGCTATGCAGGTAAGGGTAGAACGGAACGGATAAGTATATTCAGAAGAAATATTAAAAATAGATAGTATAGGTGTTGCTGCTGCTCCTTGAGCTGTCTTGAGCTCCTTGAGCCCTTGATCTCGACAGGGCGCGGTCACAACGTTCCCCGAAGCGAGAAAATCGAAACAAAAAACATCGGAAACTGCTTCCCCACCATTTGAGATCCGATGCCATGGACAAAAACACACCACATCGTACACAAACTCTATCAAAACCCTGGGCCACATCGTTCTGCGGCATTTTCCCCGCTGGACCGATCCGCAATTGGATCCCAGGGCGCGAAACAAGGCAAACTCGCCCACCGTAAAACGAATACGACGCAACCCCCTCTCCGCCACCCTCTCCAAGACCGTGTGGTGACGGACCGCGCGGTGACCCTGGAATCCCCAACGACCTCACCGCGAAGTCCGTCACCGCACCGTATGGGGCCTCGGTGGCCCCCGTCGCCCGACACGTCACTCGGAGAACGACCCGAGTGCCGAAACCGCGCGGCGACCCCGAGATTCCCACTGCCTCACCACGCAGTGTGGCCACACCCCTCGGGGGGCCCCCGACAACGAGAGGGAGGTCTCGGCTGGCCGGGGCGGCGCCCTCGCCTCCACCACCTCGCAGTCCTCCCACTTCCGGCAGGCCATGGAGTAGAACTGCAGCCTGTCGCCTTCGAGGGCAAACGAGCCACCCTCGCGAATGATACACACCCCCAGTGTTGAGAGAGCACCGCACGCTCAAACCTATAGGGAGGAGGAAGGGGGCAGGGCACGGAGATGAGGGCGCTGTAGGTATGGGTGCGGGCTCTCGGACCCCGAAGTTGGCTCAGAATCCTAGAAGGGGAACGCGCACACATACATGACCCCCACGGAATACCACACCAAAAATTTAGGGGTCGCATAGGTATGGGTGGTAGTTGTCAGCTCATGACCTGGTTGGGTGCAAAACGGCGACCAAGAAAACAAGCGCCCAAGGGGAACTGATGAAAGAGTTCCTGCTGCCGGGGAATAGATTGGAGAGGGCGACCAAAGAATCTCAAAAACGACGGCGGCACCCGCGACCAGGCCTGGAACCCAATATCTTCATTATCGTCCACGTGCCTGCTGCGTGACGGCCCCCCCGGGCATCCCTGGACTGCCACCATACATTAGGAGCA